TTCTGAGATCTAAATTCTGATTGGATATAAATTGAGTTTCTTCTGTTCAAGAGTTGGAATAATATCCCATCGATTGTAACAAACTACATTTTGTACCTGGGCATTGCATGTTTATGTTTATTTAGTTCTTATGCTATTAATCACATTTACAAATCTCCAATCTTGCAGATATCAGCCTTGAGGTGTCCAGTTAGGTTGAGGTTTATGTGTTAACATGGGTTAGGCATATAATAAAGGTAAAATGGTCTTTGTGAAAAGTTAGAAGATAAAATGAAGGTACATTGTCTTTTATGGTAAACTGCCAACAGTGATGTTACATTTTTTTATGCTTGTATTTTTGTACATGTGTGTTGTTTAGGAGAGTTTTGTGTATAGATTTTCTTTTGTATCAGGTACTGAAGGCACCATACGGCAGTTGTTTGAAGGTCACCATATATAAAAAACTCATATCAATTAAACAACCACATTTTTCGACATCAGGTAAGAGATAACCTTAAAATGTTTATAATCTCATATGCATCATATGTCGATCAAAGTATCCATACATAAAGGCAACCAAGATGTTTAATGTTTATCATGTGCCGATCAAACTACTCATTAAATAAGGGCTACATAAATTTTTAAATTCAGGGACATGGACAACTTTTTAGGATTCATATACCCCACATGTTCTCGTGATGAATAAAAAACTCATCAATTAAACAACCACATTTTTCGACATCAGGTAAGAGATAACCTTAAAAAGTTTATAATCTCATATGCATCATATGTCGATCAAAGTATCCATACATAAAGGCAACCAAGATGTTTAATGTTTATCATGTGCCGATCAAACTACTCATTAAATAAGGGCTACATAAATTTTTAAATTCAGGGACATGGACAACTTTTTAGGATTCATATACCCCACATGTTCTCGTGATGAATAAAAAAATCATATCAATTAAACAACCACATTTTTCGACATCAGGTAAGAGATAACCTTAAAAAGTTTATAATCTCATATGCATCATATGTCGATCAAAGTATCCATACATAAAGGCAACCAATATGTTTAATGTTTATCATGTGCCGATCAAACTACTCGTTAAATAAGGGCAACATAAATTTTTAAATTCAGGGACATGGACAACTTGTCAGGATTCATATACCCCACATGTTCTCGTGATGAACAAAAAACTAATCAACTAAACAATCACATTTTTCGACATCAGGTAAGAGATAACCTTAAAAAGTTTATAATCTCGTATGCATCATATGTCGATCAAAGTATCCATACATTAAGGCAACCAATATTTTAATGTTTATCAGGCGCCGTTAAAACTACTCAATAAATAAGGGCTACAATAATTTTAAAATTTAGGGACAGGAACAACTTTTTAGGATTCATATACCCCACATGTTCTCTTGATGAATAAAAAACTCATATCAATTAAACAACCACATTTTTCGACATCAGGTAAGAGATAACCTTAAAATGTTTATAATCTCATATGCATCATATGTCGATCAAAGTATTATAAACTTTTTAAGGTTATCTCTTACCTGATGTCGAAAAATGTGATTGTTTAGTTGATTAGTTTTTTGTTCATTACGAGAACATGTGGGGTATATGAATCCTGACAAGTTGTCCATGTCCCTGGAGTGGGGAGATGTGGAAACATCCTTCCTTGATTTCTCACCCATGTATCGCAACAGCCTTTGATGGATTCTATATTTAATTCCAAGTCATCTTTCCCGCCTACTTTTTTCAAGAAAACAAAAAAATAAAATGAATAGTTTATTGATCTTTTATAATAACAAAATTTAAATTAGTAGAGAAATAAAATAAATCATTTTTTATTAGTCAATTATTGTCCCAGACTATAAACCATAAGTATAAATGAAAAGATTATGATTGCATATTGCAGAATTGAAAAAATGACTTAATACAGCATTATCACATTGAATATTTAAGATTCTCATAAGCCTCTAACCAAATACTATGCAAGTGTTATCTTATGCTCTATTCCCCTCTCAAGTTTAATGATGATATGATGATATTGTTAGGTCTATTAAGTTGTATTTATCTTTTCAAATAAATTCCTTTGGACATGAGAAATATTCAATAAGTTACATATATAATTTATTTGTTTGTGTAATTTGTATATTCACACACACAAATGTGTGTATATATATATATATAATTATCATTTTCCTTGATATAAAGTATAAACAATCACATTTATTTAAATTATAATCCCTTCACTAAAGTTGGAAAAAAAAATATTATTCGCTAATCATTAATTACTAATAGTAACATTACCAACACACTACTCTCTTCGGTTGCACACATAGAGTAAGAGTATTTTTTGGTAAATATAGATTTTAACACCTAAAGAGTTGTTTTGCTAGATTGATTGTTGTTGGAGATTTGGTAATTCATAAGCAGATTTGGCCAAAGATGACTATTATCTTTTGACAGAAGGGCTACGGAATGAGGATGAGAAGTTTGTTGATCAAGATGTTCTTAAAAAGCATCTCTGGTTTAAACTTACTAAATAATAAAGTATTGTATAATCAGGTACGATTTTTTCTTTTAGCCTTTTTGAAAAGAAGTAAGTTGTATGTGTTTTGATTATGTGTAATATATTCTTTTTTTATTTATTTTCAGATTTAGTTCAGGTTATTTTCTGTGTAAACTTTAGATAAATAATTGAAGAATAATTCAATACATTAAGCATTTTTAATTGTAATTTAGACATTATCCAGAAGTCAGTTATCTTTATTATCTTTTATTCATGGAAAATAAAAATAGGTATTCTTCTATTTACAAACAAAAATTAAATTTGATTTTATAGAATTTTCATCAACGTACCTAAAATATGTTTTTATTTAGGGATAAAATAAACGAATCAAAAACAACTTTTTATCCTTTTAATTATTTTTGTGAAGTTTTTATTTTTTGTTAAAAATGATGACAATGTAAAAGATTATATGTTGTGCTAAAGTATAAATCGAAAATAAAAATATTGAATAGAATCATAACATAATCAATTTAAAAAAAATAAAGTGAAACTTTCTAAATTGAAACGTCAAAGTTATATTTTTAAATTTTAGAAAATAAAAAAAAAATAAAAATAAAATATTCAAATTCCAATTAAATTTGAATTTGAATTTTAATAAATTGAAATATTAAGAGCATCATTAAAATATTTTATTTTTATTCAAGTTAAAGAATACTTATTAATTTTAAAAATTTGAGACTTAAAATATAAATAAATAAAATAATTTAATATTTTTCAAGAAAACACTAATAAAATTTCACCAAATAATTCATATTAGAATAAGTAAAATTATAAAAATAAATATTAATATTTTAATATTTATACAGGGACATTACATTTTTATTTAAAAAAAAATACTTTTTTATTCCGCTTTCCGTCCCTTTGCTCTTTATATATAAATGTTGTCACCTCTTCTCACTCTTCATTCGTTTTCCTTGTCAAGAGAGTCACTCTCTTCTCTCACTCTTCATTCGTTTCCAATGTCACGAGTCTCTCTTGAGTCTCTGTTTCGAAGAGTTTCTGTTTCTTTGATAGCACTGCCACACGTTGGTTAGATGTGAAGACTCATCTTTTCATTTTCTTCTGCAATTCAGACTGCTTTTAAAAGTCTTTGTTTCGAAGAGTCTTTGTTATTTGTGAGTTTTTCTTTGATTGTTGTTCTTTTTGTGTGGTGCAGCAACCCGTGGATATGCTTTTCTTTGATTTTTGTTACTCGTCAGAGTTTCTGGGTTCTCTTCAGTTGCATCCTCTGTTCTCCGCTTCTTCAAGAACGGAATAACTACAGAAGTTGAAGAACACGCACAAATAAAAGTATAACCTCTCTTATGCAAGGTAAACACTTGTGTCTCTGGGACCCTTGTGGTCATTTTCTCCTTGCACTACCAAGGCTGCCATAGGAAAGTCAAGAAAACATTGTTCAACAATTCAATGCTGCACTCCTTCTTGATTGAAATTGAAAAGCTATTCGATGTTTCGATAGTTGTAATTGTTTTCTTTCCTCAAAACTCAAGAAAAGACGTTCTTGTTGAAATTCTTGAATGTGTATTTTATTTTTTTCTTTGTTCAGTTGCATTTTAACCACATTTAGAAATTACATTCTTTCTAACTTTTGTGTAATTGGTAAATCATATTTTGATTTTTTTCTTTATATTTTTATTATTTTGTTGTTGAAGTAGTTCCTTTTAGAGAAGTGGCTTTTATCTTCTGTGTTTTTTCTCATTATTTCAATCGGATGCAAGAATCCGAAAATCTATTTGTCATATGGAACAGACGCGAGAAGATGCAGTGGCATTACCATCGTATAAGACTGTCTAAGGTTTTGCTCATTTGTCCTTGTCTGATTTAGGGTTGTCTCTATGTTTGTCTTTATTTGTGTATGTGTGCTTTATTTGTCACTGTTTGTTTTTGTGTCTGTTTGTGTCTTTATCTATCTGTGCTTGCATCTCTCTCACTCCCTCTGCGTGGGTGTTTCTGTGACTTTTGTGGGAGTTTGCTTGTGCGTGTGGTCATGCCTCTATGTCTATAAATGCATTTGTGTTTTATGTTTGTGGGTGCTACTATATAATTGAATTTAAAGAGGGATTTAAATTATATTTCAGTTCTTTATAACTCACTTTAGACGAGTTCTACATTGAACAAGTGAATCAAATGGTATACCGTGGTCCATTTCTTTTTGACGTGATCTTCACATGTTGCCCCTTGATGAGAGTAGGAAGATAAATAAAATGAAGAGCATAGATAAGAAAAACGAAAAAGGAGGTGTAGGTAGTGATGGTGAAAAGAAAATACCTTTGGGTTTTAGTATATGTTTTATTTTTCTTTCTTTCTTTGTAATTTTGTGTATCTTCTTTCTATATTGAATTTGTTGCCTGGTTGTTTATGGGTTCCATATTTGTCTTGAGGTTGAAGCTTTGGTCCTGTGAATAAGGAGGATTTCAATTTTGAACATTTCAGTAATCCACTCAGAAAATCTTTCAAAGTTGAACTCTCATTATTAGAAAGGGTGTATGTAGTCACAGATTAAAGTGCCAAAAAGAATTTTGAAGACATACTCTTGTTTTGAAGGGGTTTCTTTCTTTCTTCAAGTATCAGGTTTTGTGTTTGTTGCTGTAGTATTATTCTAAATAGTAGTGAAAAAGGTTACTTAAGTTGCATGCTTATCTTCATGTAAAATTCCATTATCAATTTTGCTTGTGATATTATATATATATATATATATATAATGATCCTAATTTGTTGTATATTTGTTGTTTAATTTTAGGTGATAGATCAATGCAATTGATCTAAAGAACATGCACAAGCGAAAGCTTGAGACAGTGAGTTTGTTGCAACCAAGGTTATTTTAATGCTAAAATAATGTCCTTATTTTATTTTATTTTATTTGCATTTGTTATGCTCTTTTAAATCTCTAGCTAGTCTCATGATAGGGTTATGTTGTAATTCAAAATAGTTAATATTGTTTTAGTTTATACTAATTTATTCCAAAGCCTCAATGGATCCAGACCTGAATTATGGGAGGAGGAACAGCCTTGATGCTGTGCTCATGTAGTGTTTGAAAGCTTGTGTTGAGTTTTTTCGAAGAGGATTGTGATTGTGAAGGTAAAAGCCACTGCACCATTGCAGATTAGAATACACAAAGTTATAAGAATAAAAATAATCACAAGAAATTATAATTGTCCCCAACCCTTCTTTCTCTCTATTTATAATTGTTTCATGTGTGTCTGCTTTCACATCATTCGTTCAGAGGTTTTATACTAGAGTCTCACCATTTCTTCAATAGCAACTGCACGCATGAATGTCTCCTCTTCCGTTAAATGTCATCATTCTTCTTTTTCGTTTTCTTTTGTCTCTAGAATTTAGATTTTGCTTTGCCATTTCTTGTTTCATTTCTTTCTATTATTATTTCATTTTTTTATTTTCTTGTTTGTTTTGGTTACTCACCAGGTTTTTTCTTTGTATGTTTTGATGTTCTTTTTGTGTGATGCAGTAACATGTGGAAATGGATCAGTTCCTTGCTCTGGTGACCTTGCGTCAATAGGAGGTAGAAATTAAATGATGGGTTGTTAATGATGATGTAATCGGGCTGGAGTGATGCAAATAAATGTCTTTGTTTTAATTGATTTTTCCTTTTTTAATTTTACAAGTGAGAATTGTGATTTACGACTATGTTTGGGATGAATGGTATTTACAAATTTATTTTATTTCCTAAAGATTTAGGAAACAATGACATAATATGATATGGATAATTCTGTTATATCAATGTTGGGCATGTACTTTTAAATACCTGTGGAAATGGATGTTTTCCTCGCTCTGGTGACCTTGTGTCGATAGGAGGTGGAAATTAAATGATGTGTTGTTAATGGTTATATAATCGAGTTGGAAATTAAATGATGTGTTGTTAATGGTTATATAATCGGTGAGTGTGTGTAGAGTGATGTAGACAAATGTCTTTATTTTAATTGATTTTTCTGTTATTTTTAAATTTTACAAGTGAGAATTGTGATTTGCGACCTTGTTTGGGATGAGTGGTATTTACAAATTTATTGTATTTGTGAAAGATTTAGGAAGCAATGACTTAATATGATATGGATAATTCTGTTATATCAATGGTCGCCATGTACTTTTAAATAGCTGTATTCTACTAGCTGTATTATATCATATTCGTGAACCAAATACATTAGTAAAGCCTCATGCATCAGGTAAAACATTTTTCCCCATTTTACTCAAATTTATGAAGGGACCATTTTAATGCACCACACGCACCAATCATAGGCCAACTAAAAATGTTAAACAGCCTATCATAACATATATTCAAACTAATACTCACAAGAGCTGAAATGTTAAAAAATAGTATAGTAATTACAATGTCTTGCCTGGCAAGGACTTTTAGTGAGCACTGTGTCTGTCAATCTTCTTTGCTTCCTAGGTGGAGGTAAAGGTTGATCCTCAAGATGTGGGCATATCCTTCCTTGATTTCTTACCCATGTATCATTACAACCTTCTTTGAAGGATTCTATCTTTAATTCCAAGACATCTACCCCACCTAGTTTTTAAAAGAAAACAAATAAACACAATGAATAACTTATTCATCTTTTATAATAACAAACTTTAAATAGTAGAGGAATAAAATAAATCAGTTTTTATTAGGCAATTACTATCCTAGACTATAAACCACAAATATAAATGAGAAGATCAGGATTGCACATTGCAGAACGGAAAAAATGACTTATAAATGGAGTTACGCAGTTTTGATCTTCTGGCTCAAAGGCAAAAGAGCTCGTGGTAATTAATACAACATTCTCACATTGAATATTTAAGATTCTCAAAGCCTTTAACCAAATGCTATGCAAGTGTTATCTTGTGGTCTATTACAAATATTATGTAAGTGTTATCATTTGCTCTATTCTCCTCTCAAGTTTAATGATGACATGATGATATCGTTAGATATATTAAGTTGTATTTATCTTTTCAAATAAAATTCTTTGGGCATGAGAAATTTCCAATAAGTTACATATATAATGTTATTTTCAAAGATGACTATTATCCTATGGAATGAGGATGAGAAGTTTGTTGATCAAGATGTTCTTGAAAAACATATTTGGTTTAAATTTTATAATAAATTATTGTATGATCATGTATTATCTTTTGTTTTAGCCTTTTTTAAAGAAGTTGAATGTGTTTTGATGATATACAATATATTCTATTTTTTTATTTTATTTTTAGATTTAGTTCAGATTGAATCCTATCTAAACTTCACATAAGTAGTTGAAGAATAATTTAAACAATTTACATCAAACATTTATAATTGTATTTCAGACATTGAGGTCACTCTTTTTCATTTGTAATATTTTCATATTTTTTCATCGATTTTGGGTTGCTTTATTATCTTTTATTCATGGAAAATAAAAATAAGTATTCTTCTATTTACAAACGAAAATTAATTTTAAATTTGATTTTATACGATTTTCATGAACATAACTAAAACATGTTTTTAATTTTTTAATTTAGTGATAAAATAAAAAGAAACAAAAATAACTATTTGTCCTTTTTAATTAATTATTATTTATTTTATTTTTTTTAAAAAATGATAATATAAAAGATTGTATATTGTGCTAAATTATAAATTGAAAATGAGAATATTGAATAGAAGTATAACATAAACAATTTAACAAAACTAAGTGAAATTTTTTAAATTGGTAGTTTCAAAGTTATATTTTTAAAATTTAGAGGATAAAAAATCAAAAATTAAAATGAAAGATTCAAATTCTAATTAAGTTTGTATTTTATTTTTAAAAATTAAAATATTAGGAATTCATAAAAATATTTTATTTTTATTCATGTTGATGAAAATTTATTAATTTTAAAAATTTTGAGAATTAAAATATTACTAAATAAATATTTTAATATTTTCAAATAAAATTTCACCAAATAATTCATTTAGAATAAATAAAATTATAAAAATAAATATTTTAATATTTTAATGTCTGTACAGAGACATTACTTTTTTATTTTTAAAAAAATATTTCTTTATTCTACCCGCGCATGTCTTATTTATAAACATACATTTTCTCTCTTTCACAGCACTAATTCTCTACCGTGTCGCGTGACCGTTTCTTCTGTCTCTCTATATAAATGTTTCGTGTCACTTTCTTCTCTCATTTCCACCCTCAAGAGTCACTCTCTTCTCTCACTCTTCATTCGTTTCCACTGTCTAGAGTCTCTCTGTTTCTTCGCACTGCCACACGCCAATGCCTCATCTTCGGTTAGATGTCTAGACTGTTCTTTCCCTTTTCTTCTGTTTCTGCAATTCAGACTCTGCTTTTCATTCCTGTGTCTGTGTTCAAGTTCTTTCTTGAACTTGCATGTTCTTGTTTTCAAGACCGGCTGGTTGTTTCTTGAACTGGCGTGTTCTTGTTTTCAAAATCGGGTATTTTTCTTTTTGTAATGTATTTGATAGGGATATTGATTGCATTTAAGGGAAAAGGTGATGTGGTCATATGTGACATAGGTTAAGATCCACTCGATCACTAATGTTTTGTGTGCCCATTATTTCACTTTCAGGAGTGCTGTTTGGTGGTAAACTGGATTCACATGACTCAATAACTGATCTGCTTTTAAGCTTTCCTATCAGTTTCTGGGTTCTCTTCCGTTCCGTCCTTTGTTCTCCGCTTCTTTAAGGTAAACGCTTTTGTCTCTGCGACTCTTGTGGTCATTTTCTCCTTGCACTACCAGGGCGGTCAAAACTCCTTCTTTGCCAAAAACATTGTTCAAGAATTCAGTGCTGCACTGCTTCTTGATTGAAATTGAAAAGCTATTTGATGTTTCTATAGTTGTAATTGTTTTTTTCCCCTCAAAACTCAAGAAAATTCGTTCTTGTTAAAATTCTTGAATGTGTATTTTATTTTTTTCTTTGTTCAGTATCTTTTTGACCACATTTAGAAAATACATTCTTATGTTTGGTTTCATGCGAATGCTCTATTTCTTCTTAACATTAATATTTGTTAAAGTTGTTGTTTTTTTTTTTTAATTTGGTTTCTTTTCATGGCAGATTCTTCAGTGCTTATCTATTCAGCGCCTTAGCTCCTCAGGTGGCGGTAGTTGTACTGGTGGCTGTGATGGTGGAACTGGAAGCAGTAGCGGTGCTTCAAGAGAAATTGTTAAAGACAGATAGCCTTTCAATTGCTTTTTTATGAGTAATTTCTTTACTAGATTTGACACATCTACATGTATTATGTTATCAGGTTTGATGTATGGATACTTTGATTGACATATGATGCATATGAGATTATAAACTTTTTAAGGTTATCTCTTACCTGATGTCGAAAAATGTGGTTGTTTAATTGATATGATTTTTTTATTCTTCAAGAGAACATGTGGAGTATATGAATACTAAAAAGTTGTTCATGTCCCTGAATTTAAAAATTATTGTAGCCCTTATTTAATGAGTAGTTTTAACGGCACATGATAAACATTAAACATATTGGTTGCCTTTATGTATGGATACTTTGATCGACATATGATGCATATGAGATTATAAACTTTTTAAGGTTATCTCTTACCTGATGTTGAAAAATGTGGTTGTTTAATTGATATTTGTTTTTTATTCATCACGAGAACATGTGGGGTATATGAATCCTAAAAAGTTGTTCCTGTCCCTAAATTTTAAAATTATTGTAGCCCTTATTTATTGAGTAGTTTTAACGGCGCCTGATAAACATTAAAATATTGGTTGCCTTAATGTATGGATACTTTGATCGACATATGATGCATACGAGATTATAAACTTTTTAAGGTTATCTCTTACCTGATGTCGAAAAATGTGATTGTTTAGTTGATTAGTTTTTTGTTCATCACGAGAACATGTGAGGTATATGAATCCTAAAAAGTTGTCCATGTCCCTAAATTTAAAAAATTTATATAACCCTTATTTAATGAGTAGATTGATCTGTCTATGATAAACCTTAAACATCATATTTTCCTTTATGTATGGATACTTTGATCGACATATGATGCATATGAGATTATAAACTTTTTAAGGTTATCTCTTACTTGATGTCAAAAAATGTGGTTGTTTAATTGATGAGTTTTTTATTCATCACGAGAACATTTGGGGTATATCAATCCTGATAAGTTGACCATGTCCTTGAATTTAAAAATTTATGTTGCCCTTATTTAACGAGTTGTTTGATCGGCAAATGATAAACATTAAACATATTGGTTGCCTTTATATGGATACTTTGATCGACATATGATGCATACGAGATTATAAACATTTTAAGGTTATCTCTTACCTGATGTTGAAAAATGTGGTTGTTTAATTAATGAGTTTTTTATTCATCACGAAAAATGTGGGGTATATGAATCCTAAAAAGTTGTCCATGTCCCTGAATTTAAAAATTTATGTAGCCCTTATTAATGAGTAGTTTGATCAGCACATGATAAACATTAAATATCTTGGTTGTCTTTATGTATGGATACTTTGATCCACATATAATGCATATGAGATTATAAACTTTTGAAGGTTATCCCTTACCTGATGTCGAAAAATGTGGTTGTATAATTGATGAGTTTTTTATTCATCACGAGAACATGTGGGGTATAAGCATCCTAAAAAGTTGTCTATGTCCCTGAATTTGAAAATTTATGTAGCCCTTACTTAATGAGTAGTTTGATCGGCACATAATAAACATTAAATATCTTGGTTGCCTTTATGTATGGAAACTTTGATCGGCATATGATGCATATGAGATTATAAACTTTTTAAGGTTATCTCTGACTTGGTGTCAAAAAATGTGGTTGTTTAATTAATGGGTTTTTTATTCATCACGAGAACATTTGGGGTATATGAATCCTGACAAGTTATCCATGACCCTAAATTTAAAAATTTCTATTGCCCTTATTTAATGAGTAGTTTGATTGGCACATGATAAACATTAAACATATTGGTTGCCTATATGTATGGATACTTTGATTGACATATGATGCATATGAGATTATAAACTTTTTAAGGTTATCTCTTACCTGATGTCGAAAAATGTGGTTGTTTAATTGATATGATTTTTTTATTCTTCAAGAGAACATGTGGAGTATATGAATACTAAAAAGTTGTTCATGTCCCTGAATTTAAAAATTATTGTAGCCCTTATTTAATGAGTAGTTTTAACGGCACATGATAAACATTAAACATATTGGTTGCCTTTATGTATGGATACTTTGATCGACATATGATGCATATGAGATTATAAACTTTTTAAGGTTATCTCTTACCTGATGTTGAAAAATGTGGTTGTTTAATTGATTAATTTTTTGTTCATCACGAGAACATGTGGGATATATGTATCCTAAAAAGTTGCACATGTTTCACTAATTTCATGCCTCTTGCTGACTTCTATGATGCTGCTAGAGGTTTTTGGGTGAATGCTTGATGTATAATTGAGGTTGATGTTGTTGCGTGTAACACTCTTGATTACCGGTCACATTTCTCAACAAAAAAAAAAAAGAAACCGATATTGTCGAACTGAAAACCCAAGGAGTTGTTACATTACATGTCCCTGAATTTAAAAATTTATGTAACCTTTATTTAATGGGTAGATTGATCTGTCTATGATAACCTTAAACATCTTGGTTGCCTTTATGTATGGATACTTTGATCGACATATGATGCATATGAGAGTATAAACTTTTTAAGGTTATTTCTTACTTGATGTCGAAAAATGTGGTTGTTTAATTGATATGAGTTTTTATTCATCACGAGAACATGTGGGCTATATGAATCCTAAAAAGTTGTCAATGTCCTTGATTTTAAAAATTTATGTACCCCTTATTTAATGAGTAGTTTGATTAGTCTATGATAAACATTAAACGTCTTGGTTGCTTTTATGTATGGATACTTTGATCGGCATATGGGGGGTATGAGTCCTTGGGGCATGCCTTGTTCAAGTCGGTATAGTCGACGCACATTCGCCATTTCCCCGAGCTCTTTTTCACCAACACCACGTTTTCCAGCCATGTGGTGTACCTGACCTCTCGGATGAAGCCGGCGTTCAGCAACTTTTGTGTCTCGGTGATGATGGCCTCCCGCCTTTCACTGCCGACCTTCCTCTTCCTCTAGGCCACTGGCCTTGCCTCCTTGTGTATCGCTAACATGTGATAGATGAAGTCAGCGTCTATACCTGGCATGTCGGAACTGGACCATGCAAAGAGGTCGGTGTTCTTGAGGATTTCAGCTTCGAGCTGTTGCCGCAGCTCCAGGTTCAGTTGCTTGCTGATTTTCACGCACTGTCCAAGAACTTTTCCGATCTGGAGGTCATCGAGCTCGTCGATGGGAGTTGGTCGTTCATCATGGGAGTCAGACCTCAGATCGAGGTCGGTGATGTCCACGTGGGTGATGTGAGCCACTATGGGGGGATCACTCTGGCGACGCTCGTCGGGCGGGGAGACCTTCAACCTCTCGACGTAGCACTACCGAGCTGTCTTTTGGTTGGCCCTGACGGAGATGATCTTTCTGTCACTCCCTGGGAATTTCATGAAAATGTGATTGTTTAGTTGATTAGTTTTTTGTTCATCACGAGAACATGTGAGGTATATGAATCCTAAAAAGTTGTCCATGTCCCTAAATTTAAAAAATTTATATAACCCTTATTTAATGAGTAGATTGATCTGTCTATGATAAACCTTAAACATCATATTTTCCTTTATGTATGGATACTTTGATCGACATATGATGCATATGAGATTATAAACTTTTTAAGGTTATCTCTTACTTGATGTCAAAAAATGTGGTTGTTTAATTGATGAGTTTTTTATTCATCACGAGAACATTTGGGGTATATCAATCCTGATAAGTTGACCATGTCCTTGAATTTAAAAATTTATGTTGCCCTTATTTAACGAGTTGTTTGATCGGCAAATGATAAACATTAAACATATTGGTTGCCTTTATATGGATACTTTGATCGACATATGATGCATACGAGATTATAAACATTTTAAGGTTATCTCTTACCTGATGTTGAAAAATGTGGTTGTTTAATTAATGAGTTTTTTATTCATCACGAAAAATGTGGGGTATATGAATCCTAAAAAGTTGTCCATGTCCCTGAATTTAAAAATTTATGTAGCCCTTATTAATGAGTAGTTTGATCAGCACATGATAAACATTAAATATCTTGGTTGTCTTTATGTATGGATACTTTGATCCACATATAATGCATATGAGATTATAAACTTTTGAAGGTTATCCCTTACCTGATGTCGAAAAATGTGGTTGTATAATTGATGAGTTTTTTATTCATCACGAGAACATGTGGGGTATAAGCATCCTAAAAAGTTGTCTATGTCCCTGAATTTGAAAATTTATGTAGCCCTTACTTAATGAGTAGTTTGATCGGCACATAATAAACATTAAATATCTTGGTTGCCTTTATGTATGGAAACTTTGATCGGCATATGATGCATATGAGATTATAAACTTTTTAAGGTTATCTCTGACTTGGTGTCAAAAAATGTGGTTGTTTAATTAATGGGTTTTTTATTCATCACGAGAACATTTGGGGTATATGAATCCTGACAAGTTATCCATGACCCTAAATTTAAAAATTTCTATTGCCCTTATTTAATGAGTAGTTTGATTGGCACATGATAAACATTAAACATATTGGTTGCCTATATGTATGGATACTTTGATTGACATATGATGCATATGAGATTATAAACTTTTTAAGGTTATCTCTTACCTGATGTCGAAAAATGTGGTTGTTTAATTGATATGATTTTTTTATTCTTCAAGAGAACATGTGGAGTATATGAATACTAAAAAGTTGTTCATGTCCCTGAATTTAAAAATTATTGTAGCCCTTATTTAATGAGTAGTTTTAACGGCACATGATAAACATTAAACATATTGGTTGCCTTTATGTATGGATACTTTGATCGACATATGATGCATATGAGATTATAAACTTTTTAAGGTTATCTCTTACCTGATGTTGAAAAATGTGGTTGTTTAATTGATTAATTTTTTGTTCATCACGAGAACATGTGGGATATATGTATCCTAAAAAGTTGCACATGTCCCTGAATTTAAAAATTTATGTAACCTTTATTTAATGGGTAGATTGATCTGTCTATGATAACCTTAAACATCTTGGTTGCCTTTATGTATGGATACTTTGATCGACATATGATGCATATGAGAGTATAAACTTTTTAAGGTTATTTCTTACTTGATGTCGAAAAATGTGGTTGTTTAATTGATA